GTAATCAAATGCAAGGAATCCAGGAAAAATCAGTCGGGGTACAAAAGCCTGCGTATACGATCTATACAGTGCAACAGTAAACTTGAAATTACAAAGTTCGACGAAGAAACTGTTGATGCTATACGTGGAATATGCAACAAAAATGAAGGTTGGATTATTGATGTTGTGTCTCAAGAGAAAAGAGCAATGTCCTTATTAAAAGCTCCTCATTTCAAGCATGAAGAAGAAGGCACATCTATTATTGTGGATGGTCGACATGTTTTAATGGAGCTCAATATCAACCTATATCCCGCAGTGAACATGACTCTATGAACCCACGACAAACCAGTGCCACTTGAAAATATCTTGAATTGTTTTAAAAATGACAGTTCAGTTTCTCTTCATGCCATAGATACTGTACTTCACATCCTTAATGCAGTATCGCTATGTCTAGGAGCAGAAATTCCTTCTCATCGCAATGAGGTCAAAGACAGTGAGTTGCAGCTTCCTGTCCTCGGTTCTCGACTTGCACACGTCGCATTCTCCAATGGCAATGTCGATACAACGTGATTAATTTCATCTTCATGTTTGCTCCTGGTGACCGTTGGTACCTTATGCCATAATTGTGTCTATGCTAACAAGTTACATTGCAATAGAGCAAGCAAGCGGAAGCGTGCCGAACAGACTGAAACCAATTCAAATAAACGCAACGAAAGATATTTGAACAGGAGTGGTTTCACGGTGGGCATAAAAGACAGTGAATTTGGCCAAGTACATATAACTTTCTCTCGTTAGTTTGGAATATCACAAAACTCCCTCACAGGATAGAACTTAACATTCCTAAAAATCGTATGTTTTTTGTTTTTCGATTTTGTTACATTTTGGCGGGAAAATGACGTGCCAACTTTGGCGCCAAAAAATTAAACACGAGCTAAGAACATGCTAGTAACTTTTTTTCGAAAAGATTGTCCTATAAGGATCTCAAAACTGTAAAAACATTAAAAATACAACAAGGCAGTGCGAAGATATGGCGATTCAAAGTTCTATTTTTACTGAAAAATCAGCCATTTTGTTACTAAAAATAGATTTTTTTCGAACTTTGAATCGCCATATCTTCGCACTGCCTTGTTGTATTTTTAATGTTTTTACAATTTTGAGATCCTTATAGGACAATCTTTTCGACAAAGTTACTAGCATGTTCTTAGCTCGTGTTTATTTTTTGGCGCCAAAGTTGGCACGTCATTTTCCCGCCAAAATGTAACAAAATCTAAAAAACAAAAAACATACGATTTTTAGGAATGTTAAGTTCTATCCTGTGAGGGAGTTTCGTGACATTCCAAACTAACGAGAGAAAGTTGTATGTACTTGGCCAAATTCACTGTCTTTTATGCCCACCGTGTTTAGAAAATAAAATCCCCCTTCAAAAGAAGCAACAGACAACCAGCAGCAGTGCCAAGCTGATCACGGAAGATCAATTGTTGACATTTGCGGAAAGTGATCATAATGATCTGTTACGGATATCAGAGGAAATTGATACGTCAAGGATTCCTGAAGACATGCAGTTATTATGGGATATGCAAATGAAGCATTTGGCAGCAAAATCGCCAAATGGTCATCGTTGGCATCCCCGGTAAGTTAAATTGTATTATTGTAAGGTGAATTGTATTATTGCAGTTTTATAATTACTGGCTGTAATTGTATAGTATATTTAAAAAATATATGATTTGCAATATACAACTAATGCTTGGAATTGTAAAGTTTTCAAGAAGTTCCATTGTTTTTCTAGAATTGTCAGATTAGCATTGGACATGTATGTGAAAAACCCGCATGTGTTGGACACACTACGACAGTTCGTAACTGTTCTTCCAAGTAACCGTCTTATCAGGTACTGTAATAAGGTTTTGTGTATGTTTTAAGTAGTATTTCTTGAGGTAATTGCTACTTATATTAAATTTAGAAATAATTAGTAAACTTTTCCGTGTGTAAATGTACATGTGAAAAAAGTTGGAAATCAGCTTGCATTCATGGACTCGGAAATTTCAAAACACCCCCTGCCATTTCATTTTGGGCACGAGCGCTCATATATATATACACAACGCATGTGGCTGATATAAATACAATAGTAATTACAACTGTAGCAGAACGTTTGGTTTAGGTATTACAAGAATGCCGTAACGCAAGAACCTGGATGGAACAAGGAAGTGATCAAGTGGTGTAGAAGAGAGGCAGAACGGTGGCAGTTTAAGTCTGCAGACTACTGGGGAGGTTTCATCTTAGACGAAATGAAAATCCAGGTGCAAAGGAATCTTCATATATGACATTGACCATTGTATATGTATAAAGCAAAGAATATAAATACTAGTCGCATAAATATAATTCATTTTCATGTACTTTTCCGTTCAAAGGAGGATTTGCAAATGGCTGTTAGGAACGGGCAACATACACTTGTTGGTCTTATTTCACTGGGAGGACTTTACGAAGACATGAAACTTATTGAGACAGGTAATTATAAATTATTTACCCATTTAATCAAACCTTAATTCAAAACAATGAAAGGGAAGCATAGTGTTATTTTTTCTCCTCTCTTTTTATATAGGAAAAATGGAAACAAAGTCACAGATTGCCACCCACCTGCTTCAATATGTCTTTCTCAGTGACTGTGGGTTCCGATTTCCACTAGCTCATTTCCCTACAACAACATGTCCCCCATTATACCTTCAGTTTTGGGAAGGTGTTCTGCAAATGAAGAAGGCTGGTTTCAGGTAATTCAAAAACTAAGAGGCTTATTTTCGAAGCTCGCCGAGTGAGATTACACGAGTTTAACAATGGATCATTCCAGCTATATATAGACTAAATTTTGATCCAAACAAGAAGAACAAAATCTATCAATATAGCTTAAAAGAACATCCCTAAATTAGTAAAAGGAACTGAAATGGCCAAATTTAATTGGTTGCGAAATGTTGCTAAGTACGAAAAATATAACCTGTAAAATTAGCAAATTTTGAGTATTTTAGTAATATGTGCGGAAAAGCGCTTTTGAGCCGAAAGTGGTGCATTTTTCCGCACGTAATACTAAAATACTCAAAATTTGCTAATTTTACAGGGTTATTTTTCTTCATACTTTGCAACATTTCGCAACCAAACTTTGCAATTTTACTAATTTTAGGATGCTCTTTTGAGTTAGATAGATTTCTTCTTTCTTGCAAGTTGCAGCGAGTGTGCCGGATTATATGGCATGAAATACTAGTATCCCAAAGGTTGTGGGTTTGATTCCTACTGTGGTCAGGCTAGCTTTTTAGCCTGCCCGGTGTGGATATACACTCAAAGTAACATAAAAAACATGAAATACATAGTTAACTTAAGATTATCAGAAAAAGTCATTGAGTATCACAATGAAAAATAATTCAAATTTTATCTTTACATCTTTAGTATATACCACGCAATTTGTGATGGTGGTGAATCAAATCGACAATTTATCAACATGCACTTCACAAGTTACAGTCTGGCTGAAATGAATTTCATAGCCTACAACATGATCACTGAAGATCCCATGGTGTTTCAAATCGACTGTAAGGTACACTCTATGTTAATTTATAGCACACTTTTGAAAGCCTGCATCTTTTATGGATCGCTCTTCACCCCTATAAAATATATACGGTGTTAAAATATGAATAACTATGAATAACTATCAAGCAGTACATGATTTAGATGTGTTCCTATATGTTTTACCAGCACAACATCAAGAAACCAGTGTGCGAATTAACGGTGTGCAATGTGCAATTTGCACATCGTTTTGGCCAAAATGGAGAAAATTGCACATCACTTTTTCAAACGATGTGCAAAAAAAATTGATAAACGTTTCATGTTTACAAAGTAATGCCAATTAATCCGCTTTTATAAAGTGCTTTTTCAGCAACGCATTAACGCATCTGAAATATGAGACATGTTCAACACAGCAAAGATTAAGTAACACTAGCAGCGCCTTTTTAGAGGTGAGAGAAACATGTGCAGAATGTAAATGTTCTGCATCATTAACTAGCATTCTTTTTAAGCCAATTACAATACAGTTTTCATCAAAATCTTTACCTGATTGGCTCGTTGTAATTCGTAGTAGCGCATAGCAACCCAACCGCGTCTGCTGCCACGGAAATTAGAGACGGAATCACGGAAATGCGGTATATTTGATAACTAACTTGCTTTGTTGAGTTTTAAATATCACTCCTTTCTGCGCAAAGTTAGCTAGCTATATTTTCCTCAACAACAAATATACAGCCAACAGCTTTATCCAGTTCTTACCAGTGATTTAGTATTTTACTTATATTTGTGAATTGAGATCGAGAGATTTATTAGCGTTTTTACTGCGAACGTTTATAAAAGCTTATGGAAATGCAAACAAGAACAGCCTGCAAACAAGGATATTCTGTGTTTTGCATTTGTTTTGCCCTTCTTGCCATCATGGCAAGTACCAAAAGTCGCCAAAGAAGCTCAGAGAACTGAAAAAACTTGCTGAAGCGTATGGAGAAACTGTGTATAAGTCTGTCAAGGCAAGCGGCACGAGGTGGATAGATCACAAAGTGTGTGCCAACAAAGTTTTCCTGGAGAACTATGGCATGTATATGCAGCATCTTGAGCATGTAAGAATGGCGAATTTTACTCTTTTCACCAGCTAGCTGGTAAAGAGCAGTTTTCAACATTCTGAACATTGTGGAACTGCTACTATTGTTCCCAGTAAACTGCGAAACGACCGTTTTTACGAAGGACATATTTGTGTATCTCGTGATCACAATTCGTTGCAAGCGGCGTGTGAAAAACTGCAAGTTTCAGCTTGACAGTTCTGACAGTTCCAGTTGATTTCATATAACTTTTCCGCGAATGTTGTGAACTTCGTTCTGAACATCGTTGTGAAGTTCAAAAGTTCATAATGAAATTCACAAGCCCGTATGTAAACAAAGCCTCTAATTGGCTCATTTTTGTTAAGGGACCAATCAGAGGCTTTGTTTACATACGGGCTGGTGAATTTCAGTATGAACTTTTGAACTTCACAACGAAGTTCGGAACGAAGTTCGCAACATTCGCGGAAAAGTTATATGAAATCAACTGTAAATTTGTTTCTAATTTTATTGTCCAATCAGATGCATAGTTTTGAATTTTAAATCAAAACTACACACCTGATTGGACAATAAAATTAGAAACCATTAACTGTCAGAACTGTCAAACTGAAACTTGCAGTTTTTCACACGCCGTTTGCAATGAATTGTGATCACGAGGTACACAAATATGTCCTTCGTAATTGACAAAATTGTCACTGACAAACCGACTAAAAAACGGTCGTTTTGCAGTTTACTGGGAACAATAGTATTGATTACACCCATCTCGAATGCTGTGGTTGAACGGATGTTCTCCACAATGGCGAGAATGAAACCACACCTACGCAACAGAATCTCACGAGATAGATTGGACAGTCTTTTGAGAATTAGTGAGGAGGGACCTTCAGTGAAGGATTATGATCCAACTGCTGCAATTGAGCAGTGGTATGGACAAAGAAACGAAGGATCGGATTCGGAGGCCACGCTTATCCGGAGAAACGGAAGAAGAAATTCGAGATGTCGGACACATCACGCCGACATGCCTATTTTTTGGATCAAGAGTCGTCAGAAAGTGACTAGCTTATGGAATTTAACATTTTAACTTGTTTATATGTATATTAAATGCACGTATTAGAAATATTAGATTACTGCACCATAATAGTTGGCTTAATGGAGTATTTGATTGAATGTGACTCTGAGTAGCTAGATGTAACATCAATCTGAACCAATTTTATGACTCTGGAGGTACATTTTTCTCGAGAAAAAATTGCACATCGTTTTTTCTCAACTAATTCGCACACTGCAAGGAACTACATAACAACGTAGAAAAGAGCTCTCCAACAGGGACAACAAGATGCTTGAAGAATGGTGATGACAACATATTCTGGCAGCACTGGAAGGATGCTTACTTGTGGGACCAAGCCTGCAACTCATGCCCGCTTCATGAGAAATTGAAAGAAGAACATTTTCAACTGACGCCAAGCTCTCGCATGCGAAACAGCTTAGCTGAAGACGTTTTGGACAAGAAGATGTTGTATTTAATGAAAGTAAGTAAATGAAGAATGTTCGGGAACTGTAGGAATGACCAACAAAGAATTTTATTATCTACAACTATACGGGCAAATTATTTTGGCAATATCTGAAATAACAAAGAACTGTTACGTTCTCTTTGTAGGCTTACAACCCAGCTTTCCATTTCGATAAATAGGATAAAATTGACCGTAAGTTCTGAAGACAAGTATCATTAGCATCGTAAATTTGCTGTTTGCTTGAAAAAACTCTACGATAAAGCTTGTGTGCTCTAAAAACAAGATTACCCCCTTGGTATAATCTCATTAGTAAGAATAAAGCTAAAACGATTTCCAGGATACACTATCAAGCCTGCTATTCTAAATCAAGACGTGGTGGAGAATCACTTTTGCCAGCTGAGAGCAGCAAACGGCCAAAACGAGAACCCGACATACCCACTAACACAGGCAACCCAAAATGCGATAATCTTAAATGAAACACTGGTGCCGCTGTTAGCAATACATTCACAGATCTACCAAGAGAAAGACTATTTTCCGCAAAAAAGAGTGATAAAGGTCTAAAGTCTAAAATTTGCCTTACTCTATAGACAATAAATGTTTTTTTGTATGTATGAATATATTGCATAATACAAACAATATTATTTTTCACTTGATGTTGAGTAGAATAAATATTAAATAAACAATGAATACATGTTAATTGTATCTTCTTATTGTTATTTACATGAGAACATTGAACGTTAATGAATACATTATTCAACCTCGTACCCATGGTAGACGCTGGTCACATGATATGCTGAAATCTAGCAGATTTCACTTTAACTATCTTAGATTCCTTCAAGACAATCATACAAAATACAAATTATAAATTAAACTATAAAAATCATTCAAATATCAAATTTGATTGACCTCATCTTGCATTGCTAATTAAAAATCTGCTAGATATATTTTAGCAGATCATGTGACCGGCGTCTACCAGGGTCTTTTCTCCCAAAGACCCTGGCAGTGGCGTAGCCAGCCCGACAATTTAGTCATGCTATGCAAATATTTCTGTATTCATAGACCGTGAAAACAATCAATTTCTAAAGAAATGAATAATGATGATTTAGAATTTGCATTAGGAATCGCCTCGTTTTGGAGTATTGTTTGGGCAAGATCATTCACCAGCTTCCCTTTGTTCCATTGTGAAAGGTATCTCACATTATAGGCGTCACACAGGTTTTTTGCAACTCTTTCTTTTGATACAGGTTCTGTAATCCTTCTGCATTCAATTTAGCCACTAGTGCTTGCAATCTTAAATGGGAAAGTTTCTTACCCTTACTTGTATCCTGTTCAATTTGTGGAATATGTACCTTGAGTTTCTTTTTATTTGCTTGTTCCTTCTTTTGCATCAGGGATTTCCGGTTTGCGAAGGTCTTTTGCAGGTGGTAATCTTTCCTAAAATCACGAAGGAATTGACCAGCGCCCATTTTGAAATAGCGATTTACAACTTCACAGTAGAGTTCTAATACCATTGCCTAAAATATGGGGAAAACATATAAGTGATAGAATACAGAATAGTTTAGTTTGTTGGATGTTCTTTGACCACATCCACTGCTTTCTTAAAACAACCATTACACCTTGCTGTTATTTACGTAGATATATAAATACCATAGTATTCCCAAACTCACCTTATCACCATTATCATCTAAGCAGAAAAGATTTAGAAATTTAGTTTGTAAGACTTCGTTTTTTGTGACATCTTCAATTGAATCTTCGATCAGGCCAGGTCCTTGCTGAAATAATTGAAACAAGTTAATCCGGTCTACTCTTTGCTGTTCAAGGAGCATGAAGAACTCGTACGCACCGTCACTGATATTTAGTAACCTGTGTTCTCTAAACTGTCGGGATTCAGTGACGTTTAATGTTTCGGGTTTCTTCGTCGTTTCTCTAAGGATTTGACTTGGAATTATTACGTTATTTTGCAAAAGCAAGACCTTCTTCATTTCCTTCAATACCCTTTCCATGACTTCTTTGGATTGGAACTACTTGTTCTCGATAGCATATCTTTGTGACTTTTCCACCAATTTCCGTAATGGCCATCCACCAATGTATCTAACTTTCCCCCGTCCTTTTGCTCCCATGTTGGACACTTGCAGGGTAATATGCTCTGTTTCATGCAATTTCACCGCTTTTCTTATTTCTGCAACAAATAACTGGTATATGTAGAAGAGAAGCTGAACCCCTAAACATCGCTGGCCACAAGTAATGTTGGACCAATTTCGGACACTAAAGGCAGCCATGATGTCACTTCTGCACTTGTTAGTCATAAACATTTTGTTCAACTTCGCTGTGATTCGCGTGAAATTTGCACTTGATATACGTTCAACTGCATTTTCCGATACGTAATCTTCGAAAATTTGGGCCACTCTGCACCATAGAACCTTTGTTAGTAATTCAAAAGACGTTAAATTTTCTAAGGCATAATTTGCTGCTCCTTTATGAGTTCACTCATTTTGTCTGTATTTGAATCATTCTTCAATGACCCCAAAAATGTCTTTATGGAAAATTCAGATGGAGGGGAGATTAACCAAGTATCACTGGCATCATCAGTCATAGAGTGCAAAATTCCATCTAAATCGACTGCATTCCCTTGATTTGCCTCGAAACATTGTTTCGCAATTTCTTCTTCAGTTGCTATGTCGTTATCAAAGAATTCGCTATGATCTTCATATTGATTATTACAATCTAACTTGTAATTCTCTCTGTCCAATTCTACGTTTGAACAGCATTTAAATGTTTCGACAGGGTTGCCATGCCGAGTAGTAGCAATTTGGGCAATTTCTGGTGGTGGTGGGAGAAGATATCGTTTCTGAAATCCAATCACTTGGAAGTTGTCTTCACTCCTTACCCTCAATAATGCTACATACGTTTGACCGGAATCAAATTCTTGACTACAATGCACAACAACACTGTCTAATGTAGTATTCTGTGCTTTGTGAACCATAATTGCATAGGACGGACGTAGAGGAAACTGCATACGGCTAGCTTGAACATGCCCAGCATGATCATACTTATACCATGTTTTGCACTGCAGGGTTACTATTCCAACATTTGGAAATTCAACTTGAAGACTATTGCTGTTACTTGAATTAATGAAAGTACCGAATGTTCCATTCTTCAAATCATCATTTATGTTGAACAACAGCATTACTTTACATCCAGGTTTTAGCATTAAAATTTCGGCGAAAGTGTCTTTAAGTAGTATTTTGTGGCCAGTGTCAGTACTTTCGAATTTCAGCACTTGACCAGGAAGGTTTATTAGCATATATGAGTTATGGACAGCTACAGGTAGCTTCGTAAAATAAATATGAATATGTGGTGTGTCGCCAGTTCCCGTACAACTTCTAGATAATCCACAAAGATATACCTCGGTTTCATCGTCACATTTACCTAACCTTATTGAATCAAGAGCATCCTTCAATCGCATTTCTCCCTCACCTTGCCTCATTATTCTGGTCAAAGCAATTCGATGTGGGAAGACCTTATCAAAAATGATGGACTTGTAAACTGGATCGCCAGAGTCTAGGACATCTGGGATTGGTTTTAACTGATGAAAATCGCCAGACAGGATAACCAGAATTCCACCAAAGGGCAGTGTATTGTTATGGATGTTCTGTTGGAGCAGATTGACAATGTTGAGAAGACGCATACTTGACATTGAAATTTCGTCTCATATCAAAACGTCCAAGGATTTTATTTGGTTCACAACATTCTGGCATTCAAGAGATCTTTGAATGACAAGCGATGCAGGTAGTTCCGCGGTGTTTAGCTGCACCTACAAAACACCATTTCAAACAATCATTAATCATTCATAAGCTTTTTGGCAAAGCATGTCAACCATAATATATATATGCACCATGTGCAGTGGTTTTATACCTGAGAAAACTCATTCTCTTTAGTATTCTTTATACAATGCTAATCCTAATGATACGGCATCTATTATTTTCATGTTTGAAGCCATTCAAAACTTGCAGTATAGCGTTAATCCAGCTCGTCTTTTACATAGTACAAAAACAACACAAATAATTATTTCAAAATCAGCGTATTTATACTATATGGTTATGCATGTCCACTAACCTGATTTACCAAGTATGCAAAGGTTATGCCCCAACATTGCAAATGTTAGAACTTCCTCTTGCACTTTACTCCAATTCATCCTGGATTGATAGTGATATGCCTAAGGTCTGATGTAAAAAGTGAAAAAGGTGATGGATGTGATGCACCCTCCATGCTTTTAATTGGGGAGGGGGGTAGTATAAATAATTGCCGAAACCATCAACTATTGTTTTGCAATGAAGATGCTTATATATGAATGAAAGTTTTGACCAAAAACCTTTTTCAAACTGACACCTCCCTATACCGAACATGCCCTCGCTAAATTCAAAGGGAACTAGAGCACATGACAGCACGGAGCTATTCTATTGGTCAGCGGCAACAATAAGTCTAATCATGTGTCCATCATGCGCGTTGTTCTCATTTGTTGTTTTGAACTTTCGAAGTGCATGTGGCTATGCGAAGTTCATCTTGAAGTTCATTTTAAAACGTAAAAAGAGGGGTTTTTCTTTCCAACTATGTTCAACAATTATCTATATGTTAGCTGGACACTTTGCTGATCAGTTTTAATATGTGTTTGCACTTTGATTGCTTATACTTCAACTGAAAAAGAACTGGTTTGGCAGAGGCTTCGAAGTTCGAATGTCTACATGCTGTTGAAAAGACCATGCATGCAAAGTTATTTGACAACTTTATTGGTTTTACCTTTTGGACATCTAGTACGTAGTGTTTGTACCTGATCATATTAACTTGGCAAAAGGCAGAAATGAATCTTCTGCAATCTTTATTTTTGGTGAAGTATTGTTTTGAGGACCAATTTAGCACTTTTTCGACTGACTTCTGGCAGAGGTTTGGCTTGCTGCTTTCCCCGTCTCCACCTGCGCATCTTTCAGACAGCGGTTCAAAATGGTAAACGCCATGTAAAGTTCATTGAAACCTCTGCGGAGGAGAGAGCCAGAACACTATAACTTACCTGAACAATATTTAGATCAACACACAACTGCTTTAAGAACTTGGCTTCCTGCACTGCATCTGTCAGTGCCATATACTCTGCCTCACATGTGCACAGTGCAACACAGTTGGCTGTTTTCGACTTCTCCAAGAAATGAAAGGACCCTCGTCCAACAACTGAATACCTGTCACAAACATTGCCTCCCCAATCTGAGTCACGAAACCCAACAAGTTTTAGAGTGCTCTCAGATTTCCTGAATCTCTGCTCAATTGTGCCTTTCAAATACCTTAGAACTTTGTAGCAATAAGGTTAGCTTCAGTGGATTTCGACATGTTTTGGGAAAGCTTAGTGACTATATATAACACAAATCAGGCCTTGTACCTGTCATCACATCTATTAAGCTCCCAACTATCGCTCTATAAAGAGTTGGATCTTTCAATTCAGGTGATTTCGTATCCACAACCTTATCTAAACCTAGTACCGTTGGGGTCACCTTTGGCTTGCATTCTGCCATGCCAAACCTTAACAGCAATTTCTCAATATATTGCTTTTGGCTCATTTCAATTGCACCTTCAGAACACTTGAATTCTGTGCCTAGGAACCATGACAATACCCCTAGGTCCTTCATTCTAAATTTATTACTTAAAGAATCTTTCACACTCTGCAAAAGAATTTCATGGCTAGCGGAAATTATGAGATCATCAACCCAAGGTCCCAAATGATGATAATTGTACATTCATTTGTACCACCATTTCTAATGTAAACACATGGGTCAGCAAGTGATTGAGTGAAGCTCTCCTTCATAAGGTAATCATGTAGCATGTTGTTCCAATTGCGTCCACTCTGCTTAAGACCGTACAAAGACGTATTTAATTTGCACACCAACCTCTCACCATTTTGTCCTACCCTTTCGTAGCCTTTTGGCTGTTCTATGAAAATCTCACAGTCTATTGGGGCATTTAAATAGGCTGTTTTTACGTCCATCTGATGAACAAGCATATTATTCTGAATTGCCTGCTGTAATAAAACACGAATAGAGCTCATCCGAGCGGTTGGGGAAAAGGTTTCATGGTAATCAATACCAGGAATCTGCGAGTAGCCTTTTGCTACATAACGAGCTTTGTATGTTTCAGCCTTATCTGGTCCTGTCTTAACGGTATACACCCATTCCCCCCCCCCACTACCTCACGGCCCTTTGGGGGTGGGACCAACTCGAAAGTTTCATTGCCCTCTAAGGCCTCAATTTCATCATCCATGGCTTTTTCCCATTTATTCCTTTCAGGAGAATGTACTGCTTGGGTTCTATAGCAATAATCAACTGCACATGTTGCTGCATCATCAACAACCTTACCAGTTACATATTCGTTCAAATATGTTGGCTTAGTACGAGTTCAACTAGGATACCGTACTTCATCATGTACACTTTCAGTGCCATTTGCACTTTCATCCCCTTGTGTTGATATTGCACTCTCATTGGCAATAGGTACAGACACTTTACAGGGCAGAAATTCCCCTTCCTGTTCGTCAGGATCAACCTTGGATTCATGGTTGCTCTTGTTGAAAAATTTCACACACCTTACACGTTCAATCTTATTGGAATCAGGATAAAAGACAAGATATGCAGACTTCTTTTATCATATCCCACAAATATACCCTGTTTACTTCTAGGATCCAATTTCTTTGCATTTTGCACATATGTGTAACGAACGGAACCAAAGACATTTAGACCCTGTAAATACCTCACAAGGAGTTTTGCTCAATCTCGGTGGTCGGACATTTTGCCGAAAGACACTTTGCCGAAAGGCACTTTGCCGAATAGACATTTTGCCAAACGGACGTTTTGGCAAACGGACGTTTTGACGAATGGACATTTTGGCAAACGGACAGTTTGACGAACGGACAGTTTGCTGAAAATAGAGATATCTTCTGAACTTTAAAGATTCGCTTACACGATCATAGTTTCTGTGATTAAAGTCATTAATTGTCGATTTTGATGACAGAGACTTTGATAGTGAAGTATAGTTTCGTTTTATATTCATTCACGTTTTTGACAAGTTTACAGAAAATTCGCGATATAAAGAATAACATCATTAAACATCATTCATGAATGTGATTGCCCCGATAACTGCATGTGAATGTATTCTATGATTCTCGAAGTGAAATTCGCTTACGTCATCTTTATATATGCTTGTTTGTTTACAATGTGATATCAAAACACGTTCCTAACAAAAATGAATCATCCACTGCACAAACAAGCTACCAATAGTCAATATGGTTATGCACTGCTAACAACCATTATGCACTGCTAATGACCATTGTGCACTGCTAACAACCATTATGCACTGCTTTTGACCATATAATGGTTATTTTGCACAATGTTTGAGAATTACACAGTTGAGAAAATGAGTCACAGCGCCAAATATTTTGAAGAAATAACATCTTTATTTTCGACAAGTTGTCCTTTCGGCAAACTGTCCGTTCGGCAAAATGTCTGTTCCGCAAAATTCCATTCGGCAAAACGTCCGTTCGGCAAAATGACTGTCGGCAAAATGTCTGTTTGGCAAAGTGTCTTTCGGCAAAATGTCAGGGTACCCCCAATCTCGTATTGAAGCAACAATTTCTGATGTAGGCTGCTGCCATAACAGCATAAGTCCATATGGACTTTGGCAAGTTTGCCTCAAGCAACAAACATCTCGTGCCTTATCCTATTTTCTCGAAGAATAGATTTGAATTTACGACTAGTGAATTCTGTGCCATTGTCACTCCTGACACGCTTAACCCTCCCAAAAGGAGCAGCATCAGCCAAAAATTGCTGTAATGCTTCTGGGGAATCACTCTTACATTTTAGACTAGAAAATACATGCATGCAGAAACCCTCGCCTTGCTGACAAAATCGTTGTATTTTCCAAGCATGAAGTATCTAAAGTAGTTGTCATGGTAACACAATAATTTTTTAAGAATATTCTTACAAATGAAAATCGCCTAAAAATATCACTTTTAATTACAAAATTATCAATTTCCCAACATATTAATGTTAGGTATGTAATTATACGTAATACAAGCTTCAATTTAAGGTAAAATTCAACCAGAAACAATTCACAAAACGTTTTAAAGTGTTCTTTATAAAACTAAACTGCCTTTAACTATTAAATGGCTTTATCGATAAACTTTGAGTTTGCAATAAAATGATTTCAAATTCTCGCTTGCAAATAACTTTACTTTATTTTTTATTTAAAAAATTCAATATAATAAAAAAGGGAATCAAAAAGATACACTGAAATTATATGCTGTCTTGTTTAGTTGTTTCATATACGCAAAGGCTGTCGGGTTTTAAAGCCATTATAAAATCAATATTTAAAACAAACATACCTTCGTTAACGTCGGCTCCCTTCGTTTAGCTGATTCTTTCGCCCTTTCTTTCTTGAAATGTACAAAATCTTGCAGAAATACGAGCAAAAATGAAGAATATTTGCAAGAAATTTATCAATCATCAACTCATCAAATCAAGAAATGTTTGCTATTTCGCTGTCGTCATGCAGCCGTTATAATGCAAACTTTAAATTGGACCAATCAGTGTCCGTTATTCATGACAGTCCGCCATATTTTTGAGATCAGTGAGGATGACCACCCATCGTTGGTGACTGACGCCCACGCTCATTGATGAACTTTAGACTTTGCTAATCCTTTCGTTTCCCCGGGTGTAAATAGCCGGGGGGGATTAGTACCCTCGCACGGCGCTTCATGCTGCCGGCTCAGGGAAAATAGACCATAATAATCCCTGAATAATCATCAACGAATGACAAAGCATACTTAAAGCCATCTCTTCCTACAGGATCAATAGGACTAGCCAGGTCACAATGCACAAAATCTAAAGGAGCAGTTGCCCTTTCATCTGGGGATCTATTCCTAAATTGGCAAATCTTACCTTTAGTGCAAACTTTACACTCTACTTCATCATAGTTGGAAATATTCATCCCCTCTACAATATTTTCCAATTTCTGAATATCACCTTAATTACAGTGACCAAGGATTTTATGCCATTCATGCAAAGAACATGCACTATTCTTAGCGGATGAAATACTATTTAAATAATATAACCTACCTTTTTGTTCCATTCCAAATGTTGTGCCATCAGGACATTTGAGCTGTTTCAGCTGCTTATCTAAACTAATACTGGCCCCCCTTTCTATCGCAGCATGCACTGAAAAAATATTTTGATCATAGAACAGAACATACAATGTGCTATTTAACATTACTTCATGTGCATTACCATTGACGTCATAAAGTTAACTTTGGCATTTCCTTTTCCTAATACTACATTGGCTTTACTGCCATCAGCGAGTTCTATGACATGCGCACTAGGATTAAATTCTTCATCAAAGTCCACAAATTTTGATTTGTCATTTATAATGTGACTTGTGGCTCCAGTATTGACTAATAAACTAGAATTACTCTTATTATTTATACCTGATTTATTAATTGTGTCCTTGCATGTAAAGGCAAACTTATGTTCATTGTTCTCACTTGACGTTGTCTTCTCGGCTGCTGTCTTCAACGCATCTTTCTTCCGGCAATTCTTTGTCTCGTGGGTTTTACTCTTACAGTTGCTACACCATCTTTCCGATGTCTTCGACCAACACTCTGAAGTCGAACTTTTGCTTCATTAACATGATATTCTCCCCCGCGCTGGCAGCCTTCCCACCATGTGCCTTTGCGCTTTCCTTGTGGCTTCGCAACACGTTCTTGAATTCGGCGAAAGTCATTTGTTTCTCGCTTTGCACAACTACCATGGCAAACGTGTCGTATTCCCTCGGTAAGCCTTTCAAAACCATTGCGATTAACAATGCGTTGCTGATAGCTTCCTCGGCATTTTGTAATGCTGTCGCAAATTACTATATGACATAATCGACTATTGGCTCGTTCTCTTCTTTCTTTAGCGATGTCAGCTCGGTATAAAGTGAAATTATACATGACTTTCCCTTCCCTTGGCAGTATTGTCTGAGAACTTCTAGCACTTGCCTCCCGTCGTCTCTCGCGTCTTGTATCACTAGTGATAAACTTCTATCGTCCAGACATTGCACGAGTTCCGCAAAAGCATTGTTTTGTGTCTTTTCATGTCAATCCATTGTAGAATAGTATACTGCAATTGAAGTTATAGTATGTACTGTAAGTAAAGTTATTACTTGGCAACGCTTCCCTTTTCAATTGTATTCTAAACGTTTCATTGCACTGTATTTGTTTTAAAAACTTTGGGGACTGTTCATACTCGTCTTCGGTCTTGTTCATATGTGTCTTTGGCAAAATGAAGTGAGCATATATTCTAGTGCATGGCGATCATAGACGACAATGGTTTAACTCATTAAGTTGCAGACTGTTGCAACATTGGCACTCCCCAAGTTGTAAGGAAAATGGCGAATTTTAGTTCTGTCAACTTCTGTCAACTGCTTTTACAAAAATACCCATATCTCAAGATCAATGTTATAAAAAACCTTGAAATTTGGCAGTGGGTTAAAATGATAAATGATTAATCAATTCTATTTTAAATGAGCTCCCACACTTAAATATATCATTAGATTTTTGGGTGAGAATTCTTGGTTTGTGTAAATTTAAGTCTCTGACATTTTGTTTCTTCATGACACCCAACATCTGAAGGGCAATAATTCAATAACCCAACATAAATGGAGAAATATTTTTTGATTCCTGGATTGGTACACATTTATTTTCAAATTAGTTTTCATCTTGTAGGGTATAAATTACAAAATAATGAAACGCTATAAAAATTTGCTTGGGCATAGCTCAGGCACACTCAGGACATCTAGTTTACAATGGAGAACTTGAACTTCAGAACTTGTTGTTCAAGTCCAAAAACTCTGTAACCCAAAAACACAGTGTTTGTACCTCTTTGAAGTTTTTAAATACCTCAAATATGTTTGGAAAAACACGAAGTACAAAAATTACTAATTAAAATATAAACAAAGGATGAAAAAGGTGAGAAAATTTTAAAATGTTTGAGGTGTTTTCAATTCTGACTTTGACAGCCGGCATTTTCAAACGCAGCGTGCAGTGACAAAACAAAAGGCTTTTTATTTCGCTATTAAGAGCACTGAAAGTCGTCAAAAACACTTTTGAATATTCATCAGGTAAGAATTTTAACTGAAATTCCTTTTGTTTCTGTTGAGAAAACAACAGATTTGTGGCTAAAACGTTGTGCGCGCCAATGTAGGTTTGCTGTAAAATGTCAGACAGGCGGTTTCTTTTGAAATCTGACTCTAGTTTGAAATCTGACTCTACCTTGAAATAAGTCCTATTCAAGGACCGATTGTATAAAAATATAATATGTATGCTCAAATAAAATGAATAATCTAATATTTAGGCATTTTAGATTGCTATAAAAGAGTGAAATAAAGTATTTCATCTTTGGTTGTTTGTCAGACGAGAGTAAACACATTGGTGACACTTTGTTGCGCATGCAGTTTTCAAAAGATAAACTGATAAAAATATAGCTAATATTTCACCAAATAGCAACGTATCTTGCAGATATTATTAAAAGAGCTCAAGCGAAGTAATTCCATGATAAATAAGTGAACAATGAGACCAAAAAAGCGATTAAATTACAATTTTGGAAAGTACATAAACTAATGGCTTCCCGCAAAAGAAGCCATTTCAGAGGAGAACGGCATTTTGTAAACTACTGTCCTGACCTATTTTAAACTTTTCCTTCAGGTAATCGATGAGTACTTCTTAGAAAATGAGCGTACATTAATTTTATGATGTGCTTTATTGATTTAAAAACTTTATGGGGATATATGAGGCAATAAAGTGTATTTTAGAAGCTTTTCAAATCCCTGTCTATTCAATTCGTTGATTTCTGATACTAGCCTGCAGTCTTAAATCTATTATTAATTTATTATATCTTTATTTAACCATGATTTAACTAATTGTAAAATTTAATATGTGAGTGTAACTATTGACGTATTGTATATATTTTATCATCACGCCCCTCTTGGAAATCAGCAAATGCTGAAGGGGTTATAGCGTGTTTAAATAAAGTTTTATCTACATCTACGCATGTACGATTACATTGATTGCGGTTTCAAATAAGATTTACAAGCAGTTTTTATTTTTAGACTACATGATATTGTATTCTTCAATGCTAACATGTTCTTTTAAAATCTCGCAATTCATTGTCTAGTTCCAAATCATGACTACTGTAAGTTGCAGTATTTCCCCAATAAAACGTCAGCGAAACGCACGATATATTCCGGTAGAATAAACAATCCAAATGTCCAAAAGGATATATAATATTTATTGATACAAAGTCAAAATATATAATCTCACTGTGTCCGTGTCAACGTGTGGTTTCTAAACAATAAATTTACAAAACATAGATATTTAACTATACAAATACGATTACAAACAATAAAACGATACAAGACAAATACCTGACTGTTAGTCCTCTGGCTATACTACAACACTACAACGTTCAAACAACTTTTATAGAGCACACAAATCAACGCGAGTTCGTCTCTCGAATATAAAGCAAAACATGTCTTCGTCTCTGCCCGATCGCGGGTTAATCCCTAAATTCGGGCTTGACCTAGCTAGATCCTACACCGGCCCCTATCGCCTAATGCGATACTACAAAGAGGATCTAGATAACGTAATACGAACAAGTTTAAATAAGACAGTTCAAAGCACTTATTGATCACCGTCTATCTTTGTCTCTTCCAACATGCACAACTTTCGCACATCTCTCCTGAATTTTCCACTTCTGGTTCGAATAATAACTTGACGAACGGTTCCATGTTCATCCGGAAAACTTCTTCTACTATTGCCATTGGCCACTGTCCGCGAGGGCATCCACTGTCGACCAATAACACGAGATCCTTTACTTGAACATTTCTTGCTTGCTTCCGCCATTTCTGCCGCAGTTGTAATGTGGGTAAATATTCACTAATCCAACGCTTCCAGAACGAATTCGCTAACACTTGTGCTTGCCTCCATCGTCTGCCGAAACGATCCGCACCCACGAATACACTGAGCGGTAAACACAAGTTAGATCTCAGGAGTAACAACTTACTCGGGGTTAACGGGTCTAAATCGTCAAGTTGACCTTCACCACGTACAAGCGGTTGATCGTTGAGTATTCTCTCTACTTCTACAAGCAAGGTTACCAGTGTCTCATCATCGAGTGTTTGTTCGGTCGTCAGAGCAGCTAAAATCCGTCGGATGGAACAAATAACTCGCTCCCATACTCCACCAGTGTGGCTCGCCGATGGTGGATTAAAGTGCCATGTTACACCCTTCATCCTCAATTGGTCGTAAATCTTCTTCTGCACTTCGTCCGACTGGATGTTCTCGAATTCGTCTTTTAATGTACCGGAGGCTCCGACAAAGTTTGTCCCGTTGTCGCTGTACATATCTGTCGGGATACCTCGGCGCGCCGTAAAACGACTGAAGGCACACAAAAAGGACTCTGCGTCGAGCGAATGCGCTACTTCGATGTGAACCGCGCGTGTTGACATGCACGTAAAGACACACCCGTATCTCTTAACCATACTGCGACCTCTTTTGACGAGGAGAGGTCCAAAATAGTCCACTCCAGTTGATGCAAACGGATTTTCACAGGCAGTGACACGCGACATGGGAAGTGGAGCCATGATCTGCTCGCACGGTGATGCATACATTTTACGACAGCGAATGCACTTATCGATAATCCATCTGATTCTAGATCGCCCTTGGAGGATCCAATACTCTCGTTGGATTGCTGTAAGGACTGTTCGAACGCCTGAATGACCCTCCTTCTCGTGGTAATGCCGTATTAATAAATCGACAAGGTGGTGCTTGCTGGGAATCACGACGGGATGCTTCGCGTCGAAACTTATTTTTGCTCGATTCAACCGACCGCCAACTCTCACCAAGCCATATTCTCCCATAAATGGCGATAGTGCCGACAATCTGCTCGATTTCTTTACGATTGGACAGGTTC